TAAATAAATAAATAAATAAATAAATAAATAAATCTCCCTTCTTATTTTGCCGATTTAGTGAGCTTCGACCGTAGAAAAGCCTTCACTCAGGCACGTCTTGATATGTTGCCGCTTGCTAGCTTAAAAGGGCGCTACACACAAATTTCATACTATGAGAGAGTTTGTTCTTGCGACCAAAAATCAGTTGAGAACTTACTACATGTTGTGTTTTAATGTCCCTTATTCACGACCCACCGTGAAAGGCTCCTTAAGCCTATCTTGGAAAAATATCCTGGAAGACCTGTCCAGGAAAAGCTCAGGATCCTACTCTCAGACAAAGATAAATTTATTACATTTCAAATGGCAAGGTTTATATCTATACTTATGAAAATGAAACTTGTAATCCCCACTACTACTAATCAAGTGGTTATTTAGGTTCATGTATCCTTGGGGTTCCCCCTTCTGCGATCGATGCTTGTTATTGGCATCAGATACTGTCTATCAACTGCCTTCACTTAGTTTTCCTTAGAGTTCTTTTATTTATTTATTTTTTGACGTTACAGGTTTTTAGCTGTGATAGAAATCTAACTTGATTTGGGTTTTCCCCCTCATACTATAGTGTATTGAATTGTACTGTGTTGTATTGTTTTTATTTGATGTACAGTACTTTGCAATGGCCTGTGTGCCACGCAATAAACTTATATGTGTTTGACTGGTAAAATTTTGACTGGTGAGGTGAGACATTCTAAAATTTTTCAAGCCCTGATGATACTTGTTTAATTCTTTTTTAAATATTTGTATACTTAGTGTTTTTTTTTAGCTTTTAAATATTGCCTTTTTAATTATGTAAGCTGCACTGGGTCCTTTCAAGGAGAAAAGTAGGGTAAAGATATTAATATTGGGACATTTAAAAGGGATGCGTATTTGTGCAACCAAAATTCTTTAAAATGATTTTTGGATACTTTTTCCTCTTTTTGCTATATATTGGGAAGTTTCTAGAGTACTGTAGAAACAGAGGGGTGGTAGAGATTGCAGAGGGGCTGGAAGTACTATCCCAATTACTGCTCTCTTATCTCACCAGCCCTCAGCAGAGCTCTTGTGGAGTTGCTGTGCCTTTTGGAAGCAGCACAGCCAATTCCAAAACTGACTGCTCACAATGTTTTATTGTTGTTGCTTGTATCCACTCCACCCCATGGTCTCCTGCCTGCCTGTCCTCATCTGTAGTAAGGATTTTCTGCTGCTCTCTCCATCTATCTTCTTCTCACCTGGTGTAACCTCTCATCACTATGTCCTATAGCAAATTCTACTGCCTTCCTCTCTGCTGCTGAGCATTCCCACACAACAGCTGGCTTTAGCCAGCAGAAATCACTATGGTTTTCCATCTGGTGCTTGGCCCACTGGTAAAGATATAGAGGTATAAGTGCTTTCTCAAAATCAAAAGAGGGTATAATACCAAAAAGTTTGAAAACCTGAGATCAATTTGTAGCTAAAGAAAAAAAAAATCAAACAGTACAAAATAGCACCTTTCATTTCCTGTGCTTACTTCATTTTTTTAAAAAATTCTACCTCTATGGTACCATGTTTCCCCAAAAATAAGACAGGGTCTTATATTAATTTTTGCTCCAAAAAACACATTAGGGCTGATTTTCAGGGGATGTTTTATTTGTTTCATGTACAACAACCTACGTTTATTCAAATATAATCATGCCATCTTCTTCTGGTTGCAGCATAATGATGGAGGGCAGGGTTTCACTTAACTAGGGCTTATTTTTGGGGTAGGGCTTATATTAAGAGCATCCTGAAAAATCGTACTAGTGCTTATTTTCAGGTTAGGTCTTATTTTCAGGGAAACAGGGTATATATTCTTCTGTTTCACTTGTATGCCCTACCACATTTTCACATTTTATCTTTTTTTAATATAAATTTTCTCACAAATTATTGTGTGAACAGTGCTATATCTATAGTTTGTCTGTGAGATTGAAAAGAGAAGAATCAGGAAAAGAAATAAAAGATTAATCCTCACCCAAACCCTGCAAAATTAACATCTTTGCACAGAATTGGAAGGCAGGGACAAGCCAAGGGATATCATGAAATATGTCTGGATTTCTTCATGCAAATGAAAGCCACAATCCCAGAACCTACTAATTCCCTTTACAATGGCACATACTGCCAGAGTGTAGTTAAAGAAAAGAGTTGCAGGTGCTTTGTGTGAGAGAGTACAGGTGGACAGGGCTACTTCCTGCTTGGATATGCAAAGTGACTGGGATAAATCTGGATTTCTGGTGCTGTACTTCACTTTGAAAAATCCCCAGCTTTGCTTCCCATGTATTCTCTCATAAATTCACATACAATTTCATTGAACGTTACAATGCTGATTATTCCTACAATTATTTCTAGCAACATGTCTCAATACCTTGTTAAAAAAAACAATTGAGCCACTGGCATTCCATTCACAGCAGTGCTAATCTGAAAGTGATTCCTGGGGATTCCCTCTCCCTCCCTATTTGTGTACTTACTGATGGAGAGTCATCTAAGGGCATCTTTGTGTAACACCATTATGCCTATATGGGTATACATGGGTGCAGGAAAATAACTGAACTCATACAATACGAACTATGAAAGCCATGAAGATGTAAATCTTACATGTATTGAGGTGTCAAATATTCTGCTGTGAACACTGATATTTTCCAGAGCAAAATAACATGGATACATCTCATAACAGCAAAACAGGTGATGCCAAACTGAGGAAACAGCAGAGTTTTATCTCATGAAATAGGAACAAGAAAGACCACTACTAGTCAATGAAGAAAGAGGGAAATTCTTCTCCAGGCAGTTAGAACTGATAAAATAAGAAATATAATGTACATGTCCCAGTGTAAGCACATCTTAGTGTTTTTGCTTCAGCAAATCCTTAAATTCCTCCCCGCAAAGATAGTAACAGAAATTACTTGTCAAGAATGTTGACACTTCCTTAAGACTGAGAAGGACAGAAAAAAGCTCAGAGCACCACCACCAAGACCTTTGTGAACAGCTAGTGAAAACACAGACTGTTGCATCTCACCCTTACCCTCTATCTGCCTTTTGTACAGAGGCCCGTTGATTCTTGCAACTTCAAATCATGGGCATGCTATGCTGTGTTAATGAGAGCATCCATGATAAGCAGAACATCTCAGGTGAGCTGCCTACTGCCTGCCTTAACACAACACTCTTTATCTTTCCCATGTGTAAACCATAATCACAGCTTGAAAACAGAAGCAGAAGAGGGGATCAAGCACTAGCTCATATTGGCATGCTGCAGTTGCAACAAATGATATGTCAAAGCAGCTGGGTTGCATTTACTCTAGAAAGACAGAGGGATGGGAGTCAGCCTAGACTAGCGGGCTACATTTTCAGCAGGAAAAACAACAAACTATGGCTAAATGGGGTCCCTAAATAGTTAGATGCATATATGAACCATCAGAGGGGGCTTCAATGGGGCAGCCCCCAAACCTGGAGAGGAAAACCAACTAACTCTTCAATATTGGACATGCAGTAATCCAGCTAGGGACTAGGATGAATGGCAAATTTTTTGGGGGGGGGGGTTTCTAGAGGAGTTACTCCCTATCCAAAAAACCTAAGTTAAATACAAGCTTTATACAGACAAATCTAGCAGGGAAATCTTGGCTCAGGACTCACTAGTTTCCTAGTGCTCAGACAATTGCAAAGAAAGGCAAGAATCTGAGAGTCAACTGAGTGATAATATTTGGACAGCCTCAACTCTCCCCATACAGATTCCTCCCCCACAATGTTGTATTCTATTGCATATATTACTCTGCATTAGTAACTGTGAGAACAGAAGTAGGAGTAGTACTGATTCTGCCTGAATGAACAAGACGTTTATGTAAGATACACACACAAAATCTCTTTTTGGGAGCCCATGAAAATCCTGAACTTGCCCCTTCCTTCCTTATCCTCCCCCCTCCCCAATTCATATCTACGAGATGTGTGTCCTACTCTGAAGGATTCCCATGGGAAACAATCCCTGTTAAAATCACAACCACCAAAATTTTCTGTACAGCTCCTGATCCCTTGCTTCACTCCATGGCAACCCATACCCTAATTAAGCTTGCCTATTCTTATTCAAATTAAAATGAATTTTATTTTAGACAGACAGGCAGTGTAAGAACACACTATGCTTTGAAATCAGCCACACTGATAATTAAAATGGGTGTCTCAAACACACACACACACACACACACACACAGAGAGAGAGAGAGAGAGAGAGAGAGAGAGACTGTGTTTACCATTCAGTTACAATATTTTATATCTGTATCTCCCACTTGCAGAACAGCCCTGGACCCTTATACAACATTAAGGAAACAAGCACACACATTATAATGAATCAGACATAGGATCAGAAAAAAGTTAACTCTGAAGTTATTAACTTTAACAATGACATGGGAAGGCAAAGGTCTTACCTGTTACCCACAAGAATGCAGCCCAGCCTAACAAAACCCCGTCCATTTTGGTCATTCCCGACAAGAGAGGAACAGAAACGAGTAAGGGAGGAAAAATAGGAGACACAGAATAAGGCTCCTTGCAACAAATCAGTTGGAAGCTAGAAGTCTTCTCTTCTCTCCCCGTTATCTGCCGGTCTTCCACCTCATGCAAAACTCAGCTTGTGAATAGGCAGAGTTCTGAATGGGAAATACCACTCTGTTAGGGGGAAACAAAGAAAGCATTGCTTTTCCCTGGTTAATCTCTTCCCTGCTGGTTTACTTATGAATCTTAAGCAAGGGAAAAATAACTATTAGCTAGCTTTACTCGTCATACAAAGCCCAGATTGAAAAAAAGAGTAAAGCTTCTTATGTTTTAACTTCTCTCCTCCCCTGACATCAGAATTCTAAGACTAAAGGAGTTTCTAAATCACATGGCTGTCCACAGAAGCTATCTAGGAACACCAGAGTTCATCACTAGACAACCTTAATATTAAAGAACAAATGGATTGACTGAGAGAGTCTTATTAAAAGAAACCAATTATATTTAAAAAGCATCTGGGTAGAATTTTAAAAGAAAGGAGAAGTGAAGCTCAAAGGGAAGAAAAGGCATGTGAATCAATTTTTTCAGGAGTTCAAGGATATTTGTAGTTGCGAAAAGAGAACCTCTCATTTAATCTTTTCACAATGTGCACACAGACGCATACAAAAGCATTAAGTTGTTGTCATGTACAGTCAAGTGGTTTCCAAATTATGCTGACTCTAATACTTCAAGTCAAGAGATGTGAGACGTTGAAGGAATAATTTATTGCAGCCACTTCCCAGTAAGTTTCCATGGCTGAGTGGGAATTTGAACCCTGGTCTCATAAGTCCTAGTCCAACACTCAATCCACTATACCACACTGGCTATTTAATATAAAACTAAAATAACATGCATTAATGAAGAAACCCCATACTTATTATTCATTTATCATTCCGTTACTGAAATCTGTGTAATAAGTCAGGCCCATTGAATAAATGGAACTTACAAAGGAGCTAATTCACCAAATTCCCACTGATTCAATGGACATTCGCTAGTTGTGACTTAAATATGCTAAGCATCAGGATTTCAACCACTAAGAATATTTCTGTGAATATAGTTATTAGGGAAGACACTTGTTTAATTCAAACTTCTAGATTAAATATGCAAACTATAAAACAAAGTTAGCAGGATACCATGTCAATTAGGATGTGAAATATGTTCTGTGTATTTTGTATAGATTCACCAATACTCAAAATAGAATAATTTTAATATTATACAAGCAAGAGGTGTTGATGATTGCAAGAGTAACTGGTGAAAGTACTAATTATGAGGAGGATGCTCTGGCTTTCCTGAGAGGGCCATCTGCAATGGTCCTGTGCCAGTGCCCCCTCCCTGGACTTCAGGAAGACCTTGGCAACAGGGCAGTCTGAAAGCATGGTCTCAGGTGGAAGGAGGGAGATTCCAATGAGCCACCCCTGTGGAGTGGGACAGAGGCCAATCCTGCTTCACAGGAACTACGCTTAAAGGAGCTGGAAAGGAAAGGGGGAAATTACTCAGACTGATTCAGATAATGCATTTGCTCCCCTAAATATACTCAATGGTACACTAATGATACCAATAAATTTAGTGCTAATCCACTAACAAGCAAATTAACAAAAAACAAACATCCAATACAGATCTTTCTCTAAAGGAGTTCCTCAGTTTTTAAAAGCTGTTTGGAAAACAGGCATTTCAAAAGTAAATTAGCAGTGGGTGATCCTCTGCTGAAAAAGAATCGGAACAGAAGCTTTCAATTATAGCACCAATCTACTAAAATAAGAAAAAATATACAGCACAGGGTATCATTTTAAAAGTGTTGCTTCAAGGTTTCTGAAAGTTTTTTAAACCATTCTTTTAAAAGAAAGTGATTTCTTCAAGAAAAGAAATTTGGGGATCTTTTTTAATTCCTAAAAATGTGGCTTAAAACTCTGGCAGGACCATGCTCATTCAGGACGAACCAGCACAAACAGGTGAGGAAGAAATGCTGCATTTGGATGAGTCACCTTCTTTCAATAAAAATCAGAGCAATAATGGAGTTATTTAGATATGTATTTCCCAAAGGCTAGTTTCCTGTCTTATAATAAAATATTGTAGATAAAACATCATACAAGATATAGTCTTAGCAGCACAAAAATATAAAATGAGATTTTGCTTTTACTTTCCCCCTTTTTGATCAAATATAAATATCTACTCTTAGCCCCATTTTAGAAGAAACCTGTTGGTAGTTTCCCAACTATAAACACAGTTTGTACTTAAAACACGAGCATAAGTATTTGGTTCGTGTTTTCTACTTTTCTTTTTCTTCCTGCAATGGGAAGCAAACTTGGCACTGATTTGTTGAAAATAAACACTGACTCATTGCTAAGGAAAAAGATTTCCAATTCAAGGAAACAGCATTGTTCTTCATGAAATTCTGATCTCTTTTCCTCTCAAAACAAGCTTATATTTTGGATGTACACGAGATAGGCTCAGTATTATGTGCAAATGAATAATCTCTCTTTAGCGCAGGCCACAATTCACTCCAGATGAGACCTTTAATCTCCTTTCTAACATCTGCTTAAAAGTTAACTTTTGAGAGTCTTCTGGCATCTTTGAGATTAACAAGTTTTATCCGTCATGAACTTCTTCAGAAAATGCTCAAGCCCCAGCTTTATATTCATATTACTGAATATAATGGGACTGCAAGATAATAGAATGAGATATAGAAAATTACAATTGTTTGTATTATTACAGTGTTGTGCATGGCTTAGATTATTTTTCAAACAGCAATTTGCTATAGAGTATGAATCAAAACAGGAGAATTCTGTCTTCAGCTAAACCAGGCATACTCGTCAAAGCAGAAAATCTTGCTTTAACACCTCAAAAATAATTGCCTTGTGTAACTAAACTTAATATTACCAGGATGTTTATGCTAACCAGTCTTTAGTTTATGACCAGAGTTGATACTACAGTTATTATAGTTTCATCCTGCCACACCTGGGGTACTAGAACCAGTGTGCATGTAAATCAGTGGCAAGCATATTGTACTCATATTATATACAGTGGTGCCCCGCATAGCGAGGTTAATCCGCTCCGGATTAACCCTCGCTATGCGAAATCGTCGCTAAACGGGTAGGGGAAATGTACTGGAACGCATTAAACTTCATTTAATGCGTTCCAATACCTTTGTTACTTACCCGTTCAGCGAGGATTCCAGGTGCCGGCAGCCATTTTCGCGCCTTTGCTAAGCGAGGGCAGGGCGCGAAAACGGCTGCCAGCAGCCATTTCCGGGCTTCCGGTGGCCATTTTGGAACCGCCGATCAGCTGTTCGGCGGCTCCAAAATGGCCGCCGCAATACCCGTTCTTCGGAATGCGGGTTTTCCCCATTGCGACGATCGGGGATGTTTCCGTATAGCGATCCCGAAAAAGGGATTGCTATACGGAAACATCGCTATACGGTGCACTCGTTAAGCGAGGCACCACTGTATCTGAAAACATAGGCTGTTTCCAAAAGCTTATGCTAAATGAAACTTGTAAGTCCTAAAGGTGTCACAAGATGCTTTAGTTTTTCTTCACAGCTACTTCTTGGACATTTTTGAAAAACAGAGTTCCACAGACTTCCCTATGGAGGCATAAACACTTTCTACACGGAAGTACAGCAATAAGCTATCTTTCTCCATAGTATGTCCCAATCAACAGTTATATGCTTGCCTCCTGTTTTAACTGATGGGGGGGGGAAGCACTAGTAATGAATTAGTAGAGAAATACAATGATCAAAATCTTGTTGCTTAGAGTAAATTGCACTACAGTAGGCCCATTAAATCAATAAGGATAAAATCCATTTATTCAAAAGAGTCTACTCTAACAACTACTTACTAGTAAGTTGCAATTAGAGTAGGCCCATTTGAATCAATGAAATGTACAAAGGGGTTGACTAACTAAATCTCCATTGATTCAGTGGACTTATTCTAGTGTGATTTATTATACTGTACTAAGCAACAGGATTTTGGCCAGTGTTGCAGATTTTTTACATTGAGGTGACCCTTCTTAGGGACTTCAATGACAGCACAGACTAACGGATCTTGTCCTGACAAGACAAATGTAAAGGCTATAAGCCAAACCCTCTGTTTGTACTGTCTCAGTTGCACTCAAAATAGCAGAAACAACATTTTCTTAACTCAGGAGGGATCAACAGTTAAACATTTGTGATGTTTTCCCTCTCTTTATAGCAACAAATGCTATTATACTGTTTTCAGCTAAATTTAAACAGTGTTGTATAAAACACTCCCAACTTACTAACCAATTATTTGGTAACAAATATAATCTAAAATTGGCCCAAGAAATACAGTTTTCCAGTTATTTAGCACAAATTGGCATGCTACAAACTACAGTTTAACCTTCAACCACTCTGGCCTCAACCATTTGCTAGCTCCAGTTGTCAACCAACATGAAGGCTTCTTATTGGTTGAGTGCTGACAGCTGAGAGAGAGAAGAAAAAGAAAAGGAAAGTGTATGATACTATAACTCCTTTTATAGCCACCTTCAGTCCATTGATTGAGAGAAATGCTAAATAAATAAAATCAAAATACATACACACTATACAGAACATGAGAGATAATTGTGTAGGAAATTTACTGCATCAATATTGCACCTGTATATACACATCAGTAAGGAAGAAAGTGGTACAAGAAATTGTCCCAGAGTACAGTAAACTATTGACTGGAGTATACTATAATATTACTCCTGCATAAATGTGGCAGCAGTTCCATCCTGGCAACAAGGACTGTACAATTGATCACACAGTCCCCATTTCGACTGACTGCACCAGCAGAAGTGCTTTGAAAATAGCATTCCGCCTAGGCACAATTCCAGCTGAGTTACCACTGGCAGATCATCCAATTGCACCTACATAGCTCAGATTTCAGCCACTGTCTGACTTAAGATGTAATAAAATAGCATGATATCCATGCCTGCACTTAATCATCCTTTAACATTTTGTTTGGAAAGTCCTTTTCCTTGTACAGTATTCTGCTGAACATCCATTCAGCAGTCTCAATTTACCTTGCAGCAATTTCCATAGAAACAGTGCTTTCTACGACATTTTTAGATGTGAGGCAATCCTCCACAAATAAATATCTCCAAATTGCTTCATTACATTCACTAAAGGGCAGCGTGTCACAAAAAGTACCATTTAATAATGCAGCAACTTTATATTATTCCACCAGTTTATTTAAGACGACTGTCAGGTGCCATAAAAGCTTTCCTCAGCGAGCGCTCTACTTCAGAATTTTTCTTTCCTCTCTTAGCACCTTCTCAACAAATTGCTACTGAAGCACTTAGTTACCGTGTCTCAACATACATTTGTTCCTGGCTGAATCTAGTCAATTTATATTCCACTGTATTTCTTCTTGATGATGCTCAAAACAATAGGCTCACTGTCTATGCGTGTTCATCACATCTACCTGGACATATTTTTCTCTCAATGTTGTCAATGTGCTATCACATTGTTCCTGTAAGTACAGCTTACTGACTCGATGGCCCAGTGGTGGTGATTTCAGCCAACTGCAACTCATAACCTCTGTTTTCCTGGCGGCTCTTGGGGAATTATATGTTGCTTTGGCAGGCACTTCTGTGGAAGCCTTTTTTTTAACCTGTGGAATTAGGAAATGGCCAGTGTGCTAGACACAATTGTTCCTGGATGTCCGTCCCATGCGGAGCTAGACTAGCCCCCTGATTCACCAAGGAGCTGGCAGTGATGATTAGTGGGATGGAGACCAGAGCAACAATGACAGAAAACCTGAAGCAAATCTGATTGAACAAGGGCTAGAGCTAATTGCAAGGCCCACTTCAGGGCAATATTGGTAGCAAATAAAACAATTTTTCTCAGTCAGCACTGTATCTGCTCAGAGTCATCAAGTAGAGCTGCTCTGGGTCGGCCTCTTATGCACTGTCCCTCACTGAAGAAAAATGTATGCCACTCAGTAGCCCATGAACAATTTGCATGGTATTTTGCAATAAAATTGCTTCTATCTATTCTAACATCTAACTCTAATTGAGGCAGTCCCAATGGATGTTACTTTGGCTCCTTCTTGCCAAGTAATAATGGATATATTTCTACTTGTATAGGCCTGAAAATGAGGACAGAAACCTTGGAGATGTAAAAGTCATCATCTGCATATTGGATTTCCGCCCCTCCTAGCTCACAAAAGCAGTCAGGAGTGATGAATGTTTCTCTTCAAGAAGGCAAGACTCTGAACTACCTAAAAAACTATTATTGAAAAAGAGCTCACTGAACCACTCCCCCACCCGGTTAACTACCAGTCCATCTCCAATATCCCATTCTTAGAAAGGGTGGCTGAATACACAGTGGCCTTTCAGTTCAAGAGATTTCTGGATGAAACAGATTATTTACATCCATTTCAGGCAGCTTTCAAGTTTGAGGTTTGGGACAGAAATAGTTTTGGTTGCCTTGACAGATGCATTATGTCAGGAACCAAAACAGGGAACTGTACTTCCCTGTGAGTTCTTCCGGACTTCTCTAAAGCATTTGATACCATTAATCACGAGATGCCTCCCATGGCAGTGGGGAAGGCATCCAAAGGTCCCCCTCGCTGCTGATCGTGCCTCCTGAGAAGCTCCAAAGGCATGATTAGTTACCATTAATCACGAGATGCCTCCCATGGCGGTGGGGAAGGCATCCGAAGGTCCCCCCCGCCGCCCCCGATTGTGCCTCCGAAGCACCATCAGCGACCGGGGGGACCTCCAGGGACCTCTGGATGCCTTCCAGGGCTTCTCCGCCACCATGGGAGGCATATCAGAAGTCCCCCGCCGCCGCCAATTGTGCCGCCGAAGCACCATCAGCAACTGGGGGGACCTCCAAGATGCCTTCCATGGCGGCGGAGAAGCCCTGGAAGGCATCCAGAGGCACGATCGGCGGCCTCTGGACTGGGAAAGGGAGGGGGGGGAAGAGGCGAGGGGAGGCGGGGAAAGCGCCAAATTTGAATTTGGCGCTTTCCCCACCTCCCCTTTCCGGTCCATAGGTTGATTCTCCGGCCGCAAGTTGATTGGAAATTTTGCGGCCAAAGTCCGTACCTCAACAAGTATGAGCTGTGCGTACATCAAGAGTCCACTGTAATATAAACAGAAAAAGAAATGGTGGAAGAACGCAAGACATTGATTTAGATGGAGCACAACACCTGTGCTTAGATGACAGCATCCAAATCTGCATACATGGTGATATCCGACCTCTGATACAACATAAACTAAAATATGCTGTTGCACAAAATACATATTGTTTGCACACACAAAAATGAAGAAATAAAATCAAACAAATTACTCTGAGGATTCCAAAACTAAGAAGGTTGCTCAAGTACTGTCTGAGCTGCTTCTGTTCTGCCAGCTAAAGACAGGTAGACACTCGTGTGCTGCTGCTAGGCCCAATCAAGGAACACAGTAAAAGGATTGTGAAAGAAAAATGTTCACTCCTAGCTACAGATTGTATAGAGAAACTATATAAAACTCTGAGGATCTTAATAGAAAAGCCATTGTTGATCCCACCAGTGTTTTATTCCTCTAGCACAAGTTGCTCCACCATACTAACAGTTCATCAAGCTTTGTCATGAAGAAACAGCATACACAGATTCTGCAAAGATACTTACAGTTGAAACATGTTTCTTCATGGTAGAGCTGTTCATAGACTTTAATGCACTGGACAAACTTTCAGTTTAAATCAACTGTATGTCGAGGCACTTTGTTAAGTATGTTCAACGTTTATTTGGAAGTAGAAACTTGGGGGTGTGTGTGGAGACATCCCTCTGCCATTTTGAACACAATTCTACACAGAGAGGGATGGTTTAGTGATGTTGCTGTAAAAAGCTAGTCAGTCAGCATGTCTTCAGTTAAAAAGAGGAAAAACCTGAGCTGAGTTTCATAAGGAAAGTTGTATTTCTGACTAAATAGGGAATAAACATAAAGCTACAGAAGAAAGCCTCTTTCCTCTCTATAATGAATAGTCAGTTTGAGGAAAGTCAATTTAAGGTGTCAGGGAGCCAAATAACTCTTTCCCCCATACCATATCCTGAAGACTATTTCACCAATGGACCTTTCTGACATTAGTAGCACAGTATCCTGAGGAATTTAAGTAAAAAAATAATCTCAACGTTTGTTATGCAAAGGCTGATTTCCCCCCTCTCTACTAATGCTACCAAAGAAACCTGTATGCTTCACCCAAGGCTAGATTCAAATGTGTGTTACTGTTGTCTTTGCATTTAATATAGAGAAGGCGATTTGATCATTGCCTTCTTCCTTCACGTTCTCCTAGCTCTTGCACATGTCTCTTATTCTTCAAGCCCCTATCATTTGTCTTGAAATAAAGATAATTGCAGATATCTGCTGCTTAAAACATTTCCCAAATGTATGGACTTCCAAGTCTTCCTACATCCCTTTTTTAAATACTGTACTGTACCCAGTGGCCTTGATGAAGAGTTCTGGTGAATTAACAGGCTTGCATCTTCTCTTTAGTTCACTTTAATAAAGATGCTACCCACTAATGGATTTTAAATTTTACTCCTACAAATCAACATTCTTTCTTTTCCAAGAAATTGAAACACTTCCCCCCTGACGTCTAAAAGTGTCCACGTTTACGTTACTTTCCATTGAGCAATTCCAATTCATGGCGACTCTATGAATTAATAACTTCCAAAAAGTTCCTATCGTCGACTCAGGTCTTGCAAACTTAAAGGCCCGGTTTCTCTTACTGAGTCAATCCATCCCGTCAGTCTTAGGGACGACAGTTACTTCTCCCCCCTCAAATTCATTGGATTAAGATGGCGTACGTTTTTAGTCTCTTTGGCTTGGTCGCATTAGAGTTCATTTACTCCTTCCTCTTGAGTCGTCCACGCTCTTATCAAGAATTTCTTCTGACTAACAACTCTCTTCGCCCACTGCCAAGTTACCAAACCAAGTTTTGGAGCAAACAATCAGAAAGTTTCAAAGCTATGGCCCAGTCCAGAGATAAATAAGCCGAGCCCTTTCCCGCCCCGGCACGTGGCGCCTTCGCGCGGCGGTTTCCTAAAAGGCGCCGCGCGATTGGTCCATTTCTTCTTAAAATTACTGGAAGCGTCTCATTTTTTTTTTCTTCCTACGACTTGCGGCATCACCACCTCTCCCGCCACCCCTTTTTCTTTTTTTCTCTCTCTTTCCCTCGCTTTTTCTGCATTCCCGTTTCTTGCGATGCCTAATCGCAAAGGCGCGCGCAACGCTTTTTACTTCTTCGCGCTGGAGAAGCTGGAGGAGCTGAGGCGGCGGGGCCTGGCCGTGGCTGGCGTGGCGGATGCGATCCCGCATTGCGCTGGCGACTGGGAGGTGAGGGAAGCAGGGCCTCTTCGCCCCCCCCCCTTCGCCATTCCTGAGGGAGGCGGGAAGGTGCGGCAACTATCGAGGCCGCGTTTGCCTGACTTTGGTCAAAAGAGACTCAACGTGCACTTAAACCAAGGGGCTTAAATATAGTGTTGGACGTTAACTGCCCCGCCCTGGGTTTAATAGACCCCTTCAGTCCTCACGGGAGTGTGAGGGAAATGATCGGTTCTCTCTGCGGTGTGCGCCCTCCCACACACGGCGCTTTCTTTTCCTTTAACGACACGACCTTTTGTGAAAAGGCCCGGCTTTCTGTCATTTCTAGTCTAAACGCCGAAAGAAAAAAAAAACAAAAACTGACGGCTTGATTGTAGTCATGCTGTGTTGCAAATTCATAAGGGTCTGTGAAGATGCGGGGGGGGGGGAAGCTCTTCAGCAACTTCTGTTGCAAGTTGCAGTGGCTCAAGATTGGCTGTAGATGTCCTTGATTTGTTCTAGTCCTTCTGAATTATTCCACCTTTTTTGAGCGTCACATTTGTCAATCATTTGTTGCTATCAATGAAGCCATATTTATTTGTCAACACCAGGAATTACAGTAAATAATGGCTTCCTCGTTCATAACCAAACCATAAACCAGTTGTTCAGTGTTGAGCTGTTTTTCCTAAGCATTTTGTGGAGTAAGCCCAATGGGATTTCTTCCAGTTTGTTTATAACAGGATTGACCTGTGAGAAACTGATAATCAAAACTCAGCAAAGTCAAGCATTTATAAATCATATTGATTTCAGTGAGTTTAAATTGTGGTTAGTATTCTCTGTTGAATCAGTAGAGTTTTTAGGAAGAAAAGCCTTAAGAACATGGCCAAACAGCCCTGAAAACCCACAACAACCAATAGAGTTTTAATAGATTATAATTGTGTATGTATTGATAGGAAGTACAGGGAATTTTAAATTTTCTAGCTGGAAAGGAATTAAGTTAAATAATGCTTGTTTTACTCCCAAGATTCTCACTGAAGAGCAGAAAGAAAGGTATGCTGAAATGGCTCGTCAGTGGAAAGCAAAGAAATCGGAAGGAACAGCAAAAAAGGTAAATGCAACCATGAACCTGGAATGGACGTACATTAGGATTTATAATATATTCTTTGGGACCAAGTTAGAATACTGAAAACAGATACACAATTGACAATAGTTTAAAATAACATTGTTGAGCGCAAAGTGATTCTTAGGTATTTGAGAAAGTTACTAAGTGAGTGGTTCCATCATGAATCAATGGCAGGGTGCTTGAGTCCTTTTTTAAAGCTTAGCAAGTTGACTAGCTGGTTAATGCTTATTGTGATAGAGAAGGGAATAATATCTGGCCCTAAAACAGTGGGTGATTATTTTTTGAATAAAAAATAAGGTACCAGTTGTTTCAAGTTTAGAAGCCTGGGTTATTTTGTCAGATTTAGAAGATAATATTTTTAACTTTAATATTTAAAATTAAAAAGGCATAACATTATTATGAGATGTATAGAAGTTGTACTAGTAATTGGATTAGTATCACAAGCTCTATTTAAGCAGGTGTTCAGACAGTAAGTGAAAACAGGCTGGAAGGATTGCCCCATCCACCTCCTGATTTTCACATGATGAGCAAGAAAGTTATAAGGGCTACCACAATTGTAACTGGCTCAATGTAGTTGCATTTCTCCTTGTGTTGAGGAATACCAGTGCCAAACTACTGAGCTGCATGGACAAGTGTTAACAATATTCATCTGAAAATAGGTGCAGTCTTCCATGAGACTTTCTGCTCAGTGGAACACGATGAACATAGTGAGAGATTTAAGGCTGTCAAACACATGTTCTCTGCACTTAAATGTTGTGAATGCTTAAGGTTATGTAGGTTTATAGAATATAAAAAATGAAGCAATGACCCACAGACTGAAAACACTCAATATACATACATTCCAATCCCTAAGAAAGGAAATGCCAAGGAGTTCAGTAACTATAAGACAATTGATTTAATTTTCCATGCAAGAAAAGTGATGCTCAAGGTTTTGCAACAAAAGCTTTCCCCTTATATGGAGCAAGAAATGCCTGATGTTCAAGACAGATTCTGAAAAGGAAGAGGAACTCAGGATCTTACTGTAAATATCTGCTGGCTGCTGGAGAGCACCAGAGAATTTCAGAAGAGCAACCAGTGCTTTATAAACTTCAGCAAAGCTTTTGACAATGTAGATATGTAGATCATGAGAAACTATGGGTTGTTATGAAAGAAATGGGTGTGCCTCAGCCCTTGATTGTCCTGATGTATAACAAGTATTGTGGACAAGAAACTGCCATTGGGACAGAATATGGACAGACAATGGTTACCTACAGGCAGAGGTGTCAGGCACCTCTCTACCTCAGATTCTTTTTCCTGCCTTTTTTCCCAGTCAGGTTTCTGTTAATGTTATTTATGGAGTCTGAAGACAGAGTGATGTGTTCTGGCAGCTAGTCAGTAATGAAGCAAATCAGGTAACCAGCTCAGCAGTGTAACAAGTTAATATTTTCTACACAAGATGTTTGTTTTGTATCTGTGAAGAACTGTAGGTAAATAGAAACATTTTATTATTACCAAAGTCTCTGAGTGAATGTATTGAGACAGCAAGCTTCAGTTGATGTAAACTAACAGATAAGAGATAATCTACTGAGGAAGACTTGAAGGCAAGTCTGCTCTGTATCTCCTTGCATGAAACTTTTTTATTCATTGAGAAATTTTAATTATAACGCCACATTCTGCCCCAAGAGAAACATCAGTAATTTAAGATATTCAGATAAGACCATCTTATTCACTGAAAGCAGCAATGACTTGAAATGACTTTTAGTGAAATGAAAGAAGAAAGTGCCAAAGTAGGGCTGCAATTGAAAGTTAAGAAGACAAAAATAATGACTACAGAACTATACAACTTCAGTATTGACCATGAATAAATTGAAATAGTTAAAGATTTTGTATACCTTGGTTTAGTCACCAATCCAAATGGAGACTGCAGCCAGGAAACTGAGACTTAGAAGGGCAGCAATGAAGGAATTACAAAAGATTATCTAAGAGAAGGATGTGTCATTGGACCAAAATCATCCACACTCTTGTACAGTAGTATCCACTGGATCAAAATCTGTTGTTTCACTTATCCACAGATTGAAAATGCTAAAAATATTTAAAAATACCTACAAGTATAGATTTTAAAGGTGTAATTATTAGACTGGCCACTAGGTAAGTCACCACCATTTCACCTGGTCTCTTAGCAGCTGATGAAAAAGTGAGTCCTAGATCAAATCAAGCCAGAACTATATGTGGAGGCAAAAATGCTGAAGCTGAGGCTGTCCTACTTTAGGCACATAATGACAAAGCAGGATTCTTAGGAAAAGACAATAATGCTAGGAAAGATGAAAGGCAGCAGGAAAAGAGAAAGACCATGTATAATATGGACTGACTTCCTAAAGGAATCATAGGCTTGAGTTTACAAGAGCGGAGCAGGGCAGTTGAAGACAGGTCATTTTGGAGATCTCTGAATCATAGAATTACTATGAGTTGTAAGTGACTTGATGGCGCATAATAGCAACAAATTAATTTAATTAAAACAATCTTATTAGAAATCAATACAGTTTACCAGATTTGTAGGTAAGTTGACAGATGCTAGCCACTTCATCTGTGGAATTTTCTAGTGTTATGTGGTCATGAACGTTAGAATGTCAGTGGCTGTGTTACACTTCTACCGTCAATATGTCACCTATGAGAAAATAGCAATAGCATACAGTATTTGTATTATCCCAGAGATTCAGATGCTGCAGAAGTTACTGAAGGAAAAGGGTGGAATTGTACCTTGTGTGACTTTGCTCACATCAGGCCCACAATTCTTTTTCTTTCTTTTCTTTCTTTCTTTTTTGATTACATATATTTCATTTTTTTTCTCCACTGAGTTAAAGGTGATGTACATGACTTTCTTTTGTTCCCTTTATCTTCTCCCATCTCTGAGATGTGTCAGGCTGTGTGTTTGATCCAAGGTCACACAGTGAGCTTAATAGCTGAGTGGATTTTAACTTACTGTAAGTCTTCTCTATTATCCCAGTCTTCTCTTGGTTAGACTAGACAGGATGATTTCCCACGTGTGTTACTAGAGAATGACAATATTGTAGTCCCTTTTCATTTATTCAATACTAGATGAACTAATGAGTTATTTCAACTTTTTTTTAGTCATCCAGCCAAGTTCCAGAATCTTTCCCCAAACAAATTAAGAGGAGCACTCCTGTAGCAAACCCTGTCAAAGCACTCAGAACATATGATCAAGGTAAAGTATAGTGAAAATGTGGTAAGTCTCTTCAATTATTTGCCTATCTTGTATATTTTCTAAATAAGAGTTGATGCAAACAATTCTGCCTTTTATAAGCTCATTAAACTTAAGAGGGACAGGACAGAAGAATGGTGCATATCAGCAAAGCATTTCTAATCAGGTGTGTAAGCCATAATTTCTTAATGATCTACGTTACCAGTGCAGCCTTAAATGATGTAATATACTTCATAGTAAAGTACCTGTAGGCATGGTGGACAGAGTACATCCCTCTGAACATTGGACCATAGCTCTAAACATTCCTCTTCACTAATTATTTTGGCTAGGGTTGATGGCAGTTGAAGTCTAGTAGCATTTGGAGCCTACCCTCTTAACTACTTTGTAAGGTACTGTAGTTTGACTGTTCAGCACCTTTTTCAACTCTTGTCATTTTTCATGTTTGACAACTAACTGAATACAATCTTCAAAGTATGGTTGCGCCTCATAATTACAAAATGGCAAATACTGTAAGATATTATCACTTGTTTTTATGTTGTTTTTCTGCGTTTACCCAACATGGAATCTACTTAAAAAACAAACACATACACACACACAGCAGCAGCAACTCACTGAGCTAACATTTTCATCAAACTGGGCTAACATTTTCATCAAACTATCAAGATCACTTCCTTGGTTTGTCAGTGCCAGATCAAATTTTATTATGGTATATCAAAATGTGTTATTTTTGTTTATTTTTAATCTAATATCTAAAGCTTTACATTTCCTTATGCTATCTCACAGGTTATTTTAATACTTAGTCCCACAGATCTTTGCAATCTGTTATTTTCTTAATTTTTAAAAATAATTGGGTGTCATCTGTAAACATGACCACCTAATTACTCATGTCTAATTCAGTGCTATTTATGAACAAGGTAAAAAGATCGGCCCCAGTTCAGCCTCTAGAACAGGGGTCTCGAACATGCGGCCCGGGGGCCATTTGCAGCCCCCCAGATGATAGTTTGTGGCCCTTGCCTTGCCTGCCCCCCCCAAAGCACCCACACATCCTCTGCTGTCAAGCGTTAAAAAAAAAGCCTTGCCTCGCTCGCCGGCTCTCTCCCAAGACAGCACCTCTTGCACCCTCCATCCAGAACTGCAGCCTGCCAGCCAGCCCACCTGTCTGTCGGCTAAGGAAACTCCTGGTCGGCCTCCTCGGGCTCTTGCTGTACTTGGCGGAAAATCTGATGCAGCCCAGCCTCACCCAGACTCTGTCTCTAGCGGCCCCCAGGTAAATTGAGTTTAAAACCCCTGCTCTAGAAGGAGCAGCATTAGCATCTCTCCAGTGCAAGAATTAATCATTTATTGCTACTCTCTGCTTCTTCGTGTTTACCTTCCTCTCCATAAGAGGACTACTTTTATCCCAAAACTGCTCAGTTTGCCAAATATTCTCTTGTGGAGCCCCACTGGCAAAGTAGGAATAATGTTACTGGCACTGGCAAATTGGCACTAATTAGAGATTTGTTTTTAATTTCACAGTGCCTTCACCTCATTTGTTGCACACATTCTGAAAATTAAAAAAGACCCCTGGCAGACATGGTGACACCATTTCAGTATGGTTTGGAAAAGAAATAAAGTGTTTAGGGTTTTTTGTGTGTTTCAGGATTGCAGTTTGTAGATTTTGAGTCATAAAATCAAATGATTCAAATATAGTAATAAAAAAAGCTTATGTGGATCCACCCATGGGCTAGATTGAAGTTGTGTGGATAAACCTGAGTAACAGGTGAAATACAGTAGGAAAGAATTGTGTGAGATCCAAAGGTATTTTTTAAACTAAAACTGATGTTCTAGTTTGCCATGTGGGAACTAATATGATTCATGGCAGAACAGGGAGCAATAGGGAAAGATCTAAAAACCTTCTGATACTGCTTGGCTATAGTTCAGTATTGGAAAAAAGGAGCATCTCATTTATTAGCATAAGTTCATGTGCCTGTGTTAAAGAAATAGAGAGCCATACCCCTGTTAACTATCTGCTCTGCACCATGGTTACATGTTCACTGTAGCTAGGTAAAATGTACAGTTTCAGAAGAAGTTCCTCTGCTCCCCCCCCCCACCTAATTACTTAAACCTAGGAATTTCTTTGCCTTTTGTGAACAAGTTTAGTTTTGGCTCTCTTAAGGATTCTTGTCCAGTGAAAAAGCTTGCTGTTAGTATATAGGCCCCATTCTTGATCACTTTCTGTAGGAGTTGAATAGTAGAATAGTGGAATAGTAGAATAGTGGAAACAGACCTTTTGTTGTTGTTTACTCATTAAGTTGTGTTCAACTCTTCATGACCTCATGGACCAGAGCACACCAGGCCCTCCTGTATTCCATTGCCTCCCGGAGTTGGGTCAGATTCATGTTGGTCGCTTCAATGACGCTTCCCATCCATCTCGTCCTCAGTCATCCCCTTCTCCTCTTGCCTCCCCACTTTCCCAACATCAGGGTCTTTTCCAGGGAGTCTTCTTATATGATGGCCAAAGTATTGGAGCCTCAGCTTCAGGATCTGCCCTTCCAGTGAGCACTCAGGGTTGATTTCCTTCAGAACGGATAGGTTTGTTCTTTTTGCAGTCCAGGGGACTCTCAAGAGTAGTCAAAAGCACCACAGTTCAAAAGCATCAGTTCTTCGGCAGTTAGCCTTCTTTATGGTCCAGCTCTCACTTCCATACATCGCTACTGGAAAAACCATAGCTTTGACTATGCGGACCTTTTGTTTCTGTCCATGGAGTTTCCTTGGCAAAGATACTGGAATGGCTTGCCAATTCCTACTCCAGGTGGATCGCGTTTAGTCGGAACTCTCCACTATGACCTGTCCGTCTTGGGTGTCCCTGCACGGCATAGCCCATAGCTTCTCCGAATTATTCAAGCCCCTTCGCCACAACAAGGCAGCAATCTGTGAAGGAGAACAGAGCCTTAGTTTAGTGATATTGTGACTTTAGTGGTTTTATATTTCTTTTGATTGCCGTAAGCCATATTTTGCAGTTTAGTTGGAAAGGCAGAATATAAATGCTTTAAATAAGTCACTTAAAATGCACCTCTTTTGTGAGCGAACAAGTGTCAATTATGAAAAACGAAACCTTTTTTCTGTTGAGGAACTTATAGTCTATACTAGTGGTTTCAACCGTTTTTCACTTACGTATCTCTTGGTAGCCTATTTCCATAAACTCTATCCTTCATATTAGCCAGCTCTAACACATGGCTGCTCCTCAAAACCAAGCTTCGCCTAACAGGCTGAACACAAAGGCTACAGGAGCAACCAGTATACAATAAGTGTGGTTACCAGCAGCAACAGTAACACTTGCAGAATTAACGGGGCAGCTTCTCAAAAACAGGCTTCCCGGTGCAAAAAAAACTTCTTGCTGCCTTCCTTTCCTGACAAGCTACAAGAGGATGGAATGGTGCTTGCTTCATCCACTAAGATGCAGCAATTTTTTTACCTTTCCTAGCCCTCATTCCCCCTCCCTCTCTCCCTGACATGCAGGATGCACAATACCTGTGGAAGGAATAGGGGAGAGGAAGTGTTGAGAGAGATTGGCTTCTAGGCCTCCTTCCGCCAGGGACCCATGAAAGCCTCTTAATACCCCACAACCCACCCTCACCTGTTTGCCTGCCCTCTTTCAGCCCTTATAAGGACAGAAAGGGCCAGACTCAAACCTGAGGCACTCTGCCAAAGTGCTCCTTTCCTTCCTCCCCTCAGCAGTTCTGAGCCAGGATCTGCCTCAGGTACTTGCTGCTGTCTGAAAACTGGTCAAAGTGAAGGGGCAGGGCTTGCAAAGGAAACAAATGCAAGCGTGTCCTACACCAGTGGTCCCCAACCTTTTCTGAACTGCGGACCGGTTGGGGGGGTTCTGTGCTCAAGGGGCAACCCCCTGCTCGTGGGGGGCACTCGCTCACGCGGGTGGTTGCAGGCGTGGGGGAGCATGCATGCGTGGAGGAATGCATGTGGGGAGGCAGGAGATCTGTGTCTCCAGCCCAGTCCCGCAAAGGCCACCATATAGGCATTAGTGGGAGGCAAAGTAGTAAATGTGTCCATGATTTGCTTCACACTCTTTAATGAACAATGGGTTTAACCTCTTTTGCGCACATGTGGGAAGAAACAAGTTGACAGATATGCCTATTCCTGCCATTCTCCCCCCCCCCCGTACTCCTAAATGTCCTAATTTGTACCTGTGGGGGGTACATATACTTCTGGTTGGGAACCACTGGCTTTTACTGAAGAAAGCAGTTTTAACCATTTAAGCAACTTTTTAGCTTGACTTAAAGACTTTGTTTCTATTAGTGCAAATTCAAAACTTATTCATCAGGATGTTACTTGCTGCTACCTTTATATTTTTTTCTCTAGTTTTGCTTGAAACCCCATTTTACTTCCTGAATATCTTCAGCCATGGAGTACTGCCCCCTCACTGCAATCAACGTTTCCTGCCTTGTGAAATCGGCTGTGTTAAATACTCACTTAAGGAAGGCATAATTGCAGCTTTTCATCGTTTTGTAGATCCAGGTGAGTTTTGAGGAGAGAGTGAAAGTCGATTCTTTGTTTTCTATCTGCATAGAGGGGAAAGAGGCTTTAGCAGAAGGAAAATTCAGTTTTATCAAGCTAGCTGGTTCCTGTTCTTTCTTTAGAACAGAAAGAGCTCAACTTTGCAACAACTAACAGCTTAGCATTGTTTAATATATATTGTATATATTCTTTGTGGTCTTCTGCAGGTGAAGTGCCACTGGGTTTTCGGTTTCATTGCCAAGCTGCAGGTAGGTTTTGGGCAAAAGGGATAGGAATTATGGATTATCAAAGTTTTGTGTGACTTGCATGTATTTTAGATTTCCTGGGATATTTCATTTGACTATTAAAAGTATAATAGGACCCCCAAATCTGCAAGGGAACAGTTCCAATCCTCCTGCCTCTGTGGATGCAGAAAACCATGTGTAGCAGAGCCTCTACGTAGAATGGTTTCTACCTCCCTGTAGTGGTCATTTCTGATATCTACATCATGGAAATATGTATTGGGGGTTTCTTTTTCTCTCTTCATATTTGTGATATTTTCAGTCCCTGGATAAGTGAAGCTGTGGATACTGATCCCACGGATACAGGGGTCCTAATGTAGTATGTCCTGATTAACATGTTACCCGTAAGGTATTGTTATTCTAGAACCCTTTTCTCTGATTTTTAGTCTAGCACTTCAGTTTTTGATTGTCTGTTAATGGTTAAGCATTGCACAGGATCCTTTCAATAAAATGCTGAGCTATATTTCTGTATGCAATTTTTTTTAACTCACCCTAAAATGCTGTAAATCTGTCAAAGTACTGTATAGGATTTTGTTCATAAAATCATTAATGAACTTATAAATAAACAATGAAGTGTTCTTTTGCCCTTGATTCTCTGAGCAGAGATGTTGATGATATCAGCTGCATCTATGAGATAAACAAATGTCAACAAAGTCTAGAGAATGTTTTTTTGACAACAATAGGAAAAAAATAATAGGAAAAGTAGATTGAACAATCTCTTTTTTGACAACAGTTTTGAATATGAGCATTTGTATTTATGCTACCAAAATGATTTGGAGAAAAGTCAAAAGCAACTTTTGGGAGATTCTAAAGACTCCAGTTGTTCTCTATTGCTGCCATTTGATGGAGTGAAAATTAATGGATAGTACTTCACTACAGAAGAAACAAATATCATAGAATCATAAAAAAGTGAAGTTTGAAGGGGCCCACAAGACTATCAAGTCCAACCACCTACTCAGTGTTCCATGGGAACAGTCATGTTTATATTACCATCATGAAAATAATCTTAAGTAGTGAGATGTTATTCTCTATTTACACTGTTGTTAGGATAAAAATGTCCTGATTCTATCAAATGCCCTATAAGCTAGATTAGACTTCTTGTTACTAAACCTTATACTTGTCCCGCAAAATAACTAGAAAAATGTTTAGGAGAATTGCTTTGCCAGCACTATAATAAAAAGAAAGTATGGGGTTGTTTAATGGAAATGAGTTACAAGATGGTCAAGCTGCAGGTGATGTTGAGTACTGAAATTACTCAGTGCTACTTCTCTCTTTTAATTGTATCTAAAAGAGAGCAGAAGTAGCACTGTGGTTTGCAGTTATGTGGGCATTACTGTATGGGTAAGACATTTCAGTTTAGATTTTCTGCTATATGGGAATTTAATTGCTTAAGGCTAAAAATTATATTACTTAGATTTTAGAATGTGAATAAAATATCTGAATTTTTATGCTTATACAGTTTTACTTTTTTTGAAATTGACAGTTTTCTTGTATATGAAATGGAAAGTAAATAAAAGCATGTAAAAAGTGACTGATTCACTTTTATACTCAGAAAATAGACTAAAAAGGTGAAATGTTTGAAGAGCAAGCTGCTTCACCATGAGTGATACTTAAGCAGTTCTGCACAAAAGAGAGATGAAGCATTTATACAGAGATACCCAGATGAATCTATGTTGTAATGTGCTAAGATCCGAGTTCCACAAAAACAAGACTCTCTCTTGCAAAGAGGAATGCCTGCTGTGGAAAACCAGGCTTTCTTCTGACCCTTCAGGATTCATGTATCAGCGGGCTGTGTGGGACAGAACTAACCAGAAAAACCAATGGCTAGATTCCTGTTACGTTGTGTGGATGTCACCAGATGGTAAATAGAGAAACCAAATGAACTATGTAGTTGGAAACAGGAGATGGAAAACCTGTGCATTCTAAAAGAAGACCAGGAGTGGGCTGTGGTACTGATCATGAGCTGTTAAAATCCAGCATTGTAGATAGAAAAAAACATACACACTATAATAATCATAATGCCAAAATATAATCTGAACAACATTCCTGATCCATTTAATGTTCACATAAGGAACAGACCTGCATTATTAAACTCAGTTGACCGTGAACCAGAAGAATTATGAACTGGAACTGGAGATATTATCAGGAAGATAGCAAAAGGCAAGTCTTGTAGTAACAGTAAAAACTTAGATGGATATTGGAAGAAGCACTTAAAATTACAAAGGAAGAAGCAAAAGTAGGGTCAGAACCCTGAATGCAGTTTTTCAGTGAGCGTTACAGACAAAGAGAACTACTACAACAATCAGTTCAAAGATAAAGGAAACAACAAATAGAGAAAAATAAAGATATCTCCCCAGAAATCTAAGAAATCACAGAGAAATTCAGGCCTAAATTAAGAATGTTGAATGACCAACAGAAAAGCACACTGTCTGACTAGAAGAAAATAAAAAGAAGGTAAAACAATATACCAAAAATCTATACAGAAGGGGCAAAAGGATGACAAACTCCTTTGAAGAAGAAGCCAATAATGAAGAACTTGCAGTTCTAGAAAGCGAAGTGAAATCTGCTCTGCAAGAAGTAGGAAGAAGCGAATCCCCATGAGTAGATGGAATATCAATAGAACTGCTTCAAGCCACAGGGAATGAATGTGTCAAAATCCTGACAAGAAAATGTCAGCAAATTTGGAAAACAAAACAATGGCCCCAGGACTGAAAATGCTCAATATACATGCCAGTCCCTAAGAAAGGAGATACCAAGAAGTGTAATAATTATAAGACCCTTGCTGTAAATTTCCCATGCAAGCAAAGTGATGCTCAAAGTCTTGCAACACAGCTTTGACTTTATATGGAGTGAAAAATGATAGAGATTCAATCTGGAAAAGAAGCACTCAAAATCATATTGTAAATATGAAACAGACGGGTTTCCTATAGGCAAAGGTGTCTGGAAAATGTGTCTTTTATCTCCCTATCTGTTTGATCTGTATGCAGAATATATCATAAAGAAAGCTGGAATACACTGAGATGAAGGAGGATGAACACTTAGTGGAAGAAAAATCAGTGATTTAAGTTATGCAGATGACAACATGGAAGCAAATGATGCTCATGGTGTCACAACCTTTTATCTTATATGGAGTGAGCAATGCCTGAGCAGGGGAAGTGATTAATTTGTCAATATCCAGAAGTGGCTTATTAAACCAGTTCACAATATTGGCTTTGGAACTGTTGGACTTGATTAGAACCATCTAATCAAGCCTGACTGTTCACACAGAAATGGCAGGAGCCCGACTATTCCAAAGTTATTCACACTAGCTCTCTCTCTACTGCTAGTGTAGCCTTACCCTCATCCATCTCCAGTGATCATGGAGCCCAAGAAAGTAAAATCTGTCACTGCCTCCATATCTTCCCCTTCTATTTGCCAGGAGGTAATGGGACCAGTGGCCATTATCTTAGTTTTTTTGATGTTGAGTTTCAGGCCATTTTTTCCACTCTCCTCTTTCACCCTCATTACAAGGTTCTTTAATTCGTCCTCACTTTCTGCCATCAGAGTGGTATCATCTGCATATCTGAGATTGTTGATATTTGAATTTACAAGAGTTTAGTAGGACTGTTGCAGACAGGATATTTTGGAAAATGTTCATTCATAAGAGTCACCATGAGACAAAGACACGTAACAACAAAACATAATTATTGTAAATTTCATCTGCAAATTGCCACATGTTAAGAAGTCATCATGTGCGTTTGCTAATACATGCTGAATCACAGTGCACAATAGCAAATGCCTGCACTGACTCTTAACTTGTCACAATTTGTTTTTGAGATTTGCATCAATTGAGTTGTGCTGGGTGATACAGGATTTTGGTCATTATTGTTAAGCAGAAAGCTCTTTTAAACTATTAAAATCAATCATTTTTTAGTAGATTTGTGCTTGTAAATGACAACCATTGGTAGTCCTTGGATAATCTACCATGGGTTCAAGGTGATCCCTACATATAATAATTTTCTTGTTCATAAATACTTGCTTCTTACACAGGAGATTGAATTAGTTCTCATCCTGTCTAAAAATTTTCTAAATCTTGAAAATTGATAGATTTTTTAATCTTGTAAATTGCAAGTGTTAAGTGTAAGTATATTCAAAATATGAATGTGTATGTCATAAATAATTACCATGCGACCTTAAAACACTTAAATTTTTTTCTTAATTAGGTGATGCTACGCATAGGATTCCTATAACTGGATTTCAGCTTGCAACTTCAAATTATTCTGTTGTGTTACGTGATTTATACACATTTATTCAGCCACGCTGGGGGATCTGGCCACCTGTCTATTGTTAGGTAAAGTATAGCACCTTCAGTTGTTGATATTTGCTTCATGTTTTTAGAAATAGTAAGAAATATCCACCAAAATACTTATTTTTTTCACAGGCAGGTAGTACTAATTTTTTTATTATTAGAATAGTTAGCCAGTGGCAAGTTTTCACTTAACTACTTGCCTGCTCAGCTAGGAAAAAACTTCAGAGGACATGTTCCCCCAGTCCTGAACATCATGCCCCGACTCATCCAAAAAGCCAACTAGAGACACACCCAATCTTTACAAGAACATCCACAAGGGGGAAAGCCCAGTTAGTTCATTCTAGCTAGAAAAAGTGAACACCCCCCCCCCCCCCCCCGGTGGGATTAACATAGTTTACTTTTTCTAGACTTTCAAGAAGCTCTTCAGTTTTTGGATTAGTAAGAAAGATCAATCTTTCTCTCACTCAGTTTAAATATCAGAATAGTAAATAATGTGTCCTAGATGTTCTATTTCTACCTCTTCTTTGTTCCTCTACTTCCACGCCCCCCCCCGAAAGGCTAGTCACTTTCAATGTCTTTGCTGCAGGAATCTGAAAGGGTGTACTCCACCACTCAAGGAAAAAAGAAATTTGGGGATATGGTGTGGTATACTGAGGCTGAAAAAAATGGTGAAATCATTAGCTTGCAACTTGACTCTTGAATTCAATACAGTGGTGCCTTGAGTTACAAACTTAATTGTTCCGGAAGATGGGCGTAACTCAAGTTGGTCATAACTCAAAGCACCATTTCCCACAGGAATACATTGAAACCCCATTAATCCGTTCCAGCTGGGAAAAAAACCCCACTGAAAAACAAAAACACTGCAAGACCCATCGGAAACGCGATTGATCTGTTCCTGCTAGAAAAAAACCCACCAAAAAGCAAACAAAGAGTGCAACACCCATTGGAAACGCGATTGATCTGTTCCAGCTAGGGAAAAAAAACACCAAAAAGCAAACAAACACTGCAAGACCCATTGGAAATGCGATTGATCTGTTCCGGCTGGGGGTAAAAAAATCACCAAAAAGCAAAAAAAACCCGCAAGACCCATTGAAAATGCAGTTGATCTGTTCCAGCCGGAAGGGAAAAAAAGACCAAAAAGCAAACAAAGACTGCAAGACCCATCGGAAATGCGATTGATCCATTCCGGCCAGGGGGAAAAACCACTGAAAAGCAAACACTGCAAGACCCATCACAGCACAGAAACATAACCCCCCACCCAAGCCCAAACCCATGCTGCAAAACCCTGTACTCACTCAGAACAAACATTTTAAAAAGCAGAAAACAGTACCAGGCAGCCTGAAACCACTTCCAAATGCACACTCTCTAACCACTGGGGTGAAAAAGCTACAAAGAAGCAGCCTCTTTGCCAACCAACGGTTAGCAGTTTAAATTTTCCGCCTTTTTCCGGTCGCGAGTCAAAGCAAAATTTTGCGGCTGGAGCTGGTCGTAACTCAAAATGGTCGGAAGTCAAGATGTTCGTAAGTCAAGGCACCACTGTATTAAACTTCCTATCTCCCCCCCTTTTCCCTCCCTCAGGTTCCAAGGCTCCCTAAAGATCCATTTTGACCAGGGAAAGCCTTTGGGAGCTTTAGAATGGTGCAGGAGCCTTTAATATTGGAAAATTATATCTCAAAAACCCTAGAAGGGATTGCCGCAAGTCAAAATTATTATAATTCATAGGGTTGCTTTTTGATTTGTTCATGAATGGATTGGAGTTGGAGATGAGCAGGAACATAGCATGTTGTTTCTAGTTATTTGGTTAATAAAGAGTTGAAGGGACCAGAACAGAAGCCATGCCACAGTTCATTTTCATAGAATTTTCTGTTAGACTTCTGTTGATGCCCCAGTTGATACAGGTATCTGCAGTGTTGCTGATGGGAGAAGGTTTCCTATTTTTAGTTAAATCTACAGTGTTTCAAGAATACTGTGTTTGATATCTTGTAAGTAGAGGGGAATCTATTTAATGGACTTGAAATGGGAGGTTTCAGGTAGTGACACATTATTTATTTCAGTTGTATTAATTGATGTCTATAAACTCCTATTTTTTTAGTCTGATGATCATTTTAGGATCAGTTGGTGTCTGACGCATATGGCTACAAAAGCAGGTAAGAAACTGCTTTTGTTAACCATAGAAAGGATGTTAGTTTTCTGTATTTAAATATGGATTTATCTGTTTAAAAAATTGTTTCTGCTTTTAATGCATTTTCTTTCTGATAGGCACAGCAAATCACTTAGAGCTTCTCAATGTGGAAGATCTGATTGTAGAGCTGTATAATCAGAAGCTTCAAAAAGAACCTTCAAAGACTTGGGTGTGCAACATCCTGGATTGCTGCATGTGGGATTACTCAGGAAATACTAGGTATAATGGGTAGCCCTTTCCCTCTTTTCTCTACCAGTTAGAACTGCTGTATATCACTGCACAAAATGTTTTTGTGTTGTGGCTTTTACATTTTTGGAAAACATTAGCTAATGGATTGCTGGTGGGTCTTAAAAGTATTTTGCAAGATAAGTAATATAACAAGCCCAGAAAAAAAAAATCCAAATAGCTTCCTGGAGTGTTTGAGTGAATGCAATGCTTCGTATTCACTATTGTTTCCAAAATAAACTATACTGGCCTTTTGATCATTTTATATCAGTTGTAAATTGGAAAAAACAGTTCTTCATGGTCTCTGTGCATCCTTGCTTACAAGTTCGGGCCTGTGCAAGCCCCCCATGTGAAACCTTCTAGGTGAAGAGTTTTGACTATAGCTATGGTCCCTATCTACAGGGCATGTGCCAGTGCACAGTTCTGTCTATTTGCCACAGCAGCCAAATTTTTTGAATTTCTCAGCTAGAGAGATTTCCTGAGGAAAATCACTGTGGAGCTGTGTGTGTCTTCTTTTGATTTATTTATTGTAGTTATTCAGTTACAACATTTTATTTTGATTGCTTTCATCTTAATACATTCTGGATTTGTTTTGTTCTTTGTTCCTTCGGGGCCTATCTTTTTTCAAATCTTGTATAAGGTAAAGATTCCTGTCACAGATTTACAGAAATATGTATTGTGGTTGTT